TGACTAGCCGCCCCTTGTACTTGTCGATACTACCTACCGTCAGGATTTTTCTTCAAGTCGGAAGACCCACTTGCATTGAATTGCCTTCGCACCAGGTGGAAGCTGTCAAAATCCAGGTTTGGTTTTCACGATTTCACGATCCGTGGCTTTCTTCCACTCTACATAATCACTTCTTTTTAGGGCATCTTCAAACGTCTCGGGATCCTCTGTCACTAGATTTACAAACTCCTCCACCAGCATGGAATATGGTTCCAGATGTTGGGGTTTCCTCAAGATCGATCTATCCCTCAAGATTCTTTCAGAATTCTTCTGAAAATATTCTTCTTTTTCCGTCTTAAATTTTTGCATCAACCTGTAGCTCATCGTCACTGTCCTCTTCTTCTGTTCCTTCATTGTCTTCTTTTATTGGAAACTTAACTTGACTTTCACATTCTTTAATTTTTTCTTGAAATTGAACATCACTGGAAAGAATGACCTTGTGATTGTTTGGAATATAAATTTTGTAACGCTCATCACCATCATATCCAACGAGGAATCCTTTCATTGCTTTCTTTTCTATATTCTTTCTCTTCTCAGTAGGTATGTGAACATAGCAGACAGATCCAACAACTCGTAGATGTTTTATCCTTGGTTTCTTCCCAATTCACAGTTCATAAGGACTTACCCCCTCTTTTGAAGATTTTCCTGTTCTATTTAACACGTAAATGGCTGTCATTACCAACTCTGCCCATATAGAATCTGGAAAATCAACTTCACTGTTTGAGTACTTGAAGGTTCTGGCCATTTCTATTGTTGTTCGGTTCTCACGCTCACTGCCTCCATTTTGCTCTGGTGTGTAGGGCGCTGTCAGTCTCTGAGTGATTCCGTTCTCCACTAGGATGGTCTTAATCTCTCCATAGTCGAATTCACCACCATTATCAGTGAGTAGTTCTCCAATGCTGTGCCCAAGGGTTTTTGCGTGTGCTAAGAACTGTTTTAACACAATTCGCACATCTGATTTATGTTTTATCACAAAACCATAACGAAATTTTGTGTAATTGTCTTTAAAAATCACAAGAAATTGTTTTTAGCGCATTTTTGGTAACAAAAAGGAGCTTATCATTTCACTTTGTCCGGCTGGCTGGCTGGCTGGCTGGGCGGATTGAAAAACTTTTGATCTAGACATCGTAGAGAGGTCCGGTTTTTTGCATTATCTCCGTCTTGTCGAGTTATTGGCGCAATGGACATTCATTAAGCCCGTAGTGGTTGCGTTTAATTAGAATTTGCGAAATAACTAACGCCGCTTGAAAACTTGTCCGTGCGTATATCGATTTTAAGCCGATCCGATTGACGTAGAGGAATGGCTTTTTTATAAAATATACTTTTGGCATTGCCTAACTACGGTCACTAATATGACTTATCTAGGATAACTACTTCAAGGTGAAAACTAATCAAAATCATAACACGGTGATGAGTTTTACAGTTTGTGGTATAATTTTGGTTAAAAATATCGTATCCAGGTCTGAGCGGTTTTTAGCGTAACACAACGAAGTTGAGGTAACGCTTATGTGCTCGTGTTTCCGTCTGTCCGTCCGTCCGTCCGTTCGTTCCATCGAGATCTCGGCCCCTGGGACACCTAGAGACTTCGGGTTTTCGCTAATTGATAGCTGCTATGGTCTATATTTGCCCATTTCAGACAGTTTTATTGCACTCTCTATTTTGCGCAGACTGCGCATTGCCAACTTTCTTATTTATGGAGATATTTCTTTGAAATTTTAACCACAGATGCTTCTAGTAAAGGCAAACATTGCGCACATACTAAAAATTATGTGTGCGCATGCGCAGTCCCTGCGCAATGCCAACTTTCCTATTTATGGAGATATTTCTTTGAAATTGGAACCACAGATGCTTCTAGTAAAGGCAAACATTTCGCAAATAGTAAAAATTATGTGTAGGCATGCACTGCGCAATGCCAACTTTCTTATTTATGGAGATATTTCTTTGAAATTTGAACCACTGATGCTCCTAGTAAAGGCAACAACTTGTTGATTGCAGCGTTATCGGAGATCGGGGATTTCATTGAGGCAACTGAAGACGTCTTGATTATGGGAGACTTTAATTTCCCATTAACTGTCGGAAATCGGGTAGAGAAATTTCTTCAAGAGAAATTCAATATAGTGATCATCTCTCCCCGAACAGTGACAACGAATGGCGGAACAATAATTGACGGAGTTTTTGGCAAAATGGTCAACTACACTGTTGATTGTTCGGTTTACGAGTCGTACTGTTCATACCATCGTCCAATTATTATTAGAGTTCGTGAAAATTAATAAAGAAATATATGTTTGCATAAACCTTATTTTATAATTAAAATTTTCTGATAAAATACTGATTGCTAATGCAATACTGATCCGTCACGCCAAAAATGCGCTGAAGTCTCATCGATGCACATACGAGGACTTTTGTAATTTTTTACTGAAGGATTCACAAAATGGGCCTACAACACCAGTAGAAAAAAGTTCACCAGGTCTCGTTGCAGTTACTCGAGTACCAAACGGCAAGCGATGCGCCTTTCCAAAAATACAGGGCTCACAAACGTCTTTCACTAGCTTCACGGTGATGCCTAACTCTCTTTTGAGCATCTCTCTCACGTGTCGCTTGTCTTGGTGTCCCCATCTTTCGTGATAGAGTTGCAGCATTGAGTTTTCTACTTCTGCGATGTTGACTCCCTCCGCTTTCTCAGGAATCACTGGTTCGATGGCTGCCTTGTACAGACCTCCGCCTTTTTCACGACCTCCGCACAGGACAGTTTTTCCATTCACTTCTAACCAGCACTTGGTCACAGTGGAGTAGAACTTACTGTTTTCATTTTTATCTTCTTCTCAGTCATTATCATTTTTAGAGTGCTTTTCTTAGTGAAAGAAGAAATTTCAATTGTTCCCTTTCCAATGGCTTTGAGCACTTCTTTTCCAGCAGCCTTTATGACGCAGGGTGATTGAAATTCTTGAAACTCAACAAACTGGTCCGGAGAATTCGTCAAGTGCTTTGTGACTCCATTGTCGATCCACCATCCTGATGAAGTTTCTTTCACTTGAAGAATATCTTCACTCACACCACAAAGGGCTACATTGGAATCCACGACGTTGGTCTGATGTACTTTCTGTTGTGGTTGTCCATCCGCAATCCACGATGTTTGTGACCTTTCTGAAATTTCTTTCGTACATACACAATTGGCCACTAATTCATCAAAAGTTTTTTTCTTCGTTTTTCGAACTAGATCTGAAATTCTCGAAATCGTCTGGTAAAATTTGCAAAACTTTACAAACAAGGAGTTTATTTGTTACTCAGTTGTAAACGTTGATTAACAAGACAAAACGCAAACGGGTAAACGTCATGTTTAAACGCGACTGACTTGTAAAACTGACAGCTGACCTGTAAAAATTTTACAAGTTAGTATTCGAGTAATTTCATTGGCCAGAATTAATGCGAAGTCTCTGTTAAGTACATGGATAACAAGATATTTTAGACATTTCTTCAAGATCAATTTAAGAACTAATTATTTACGTTTACTATTGTTTATAAATGAGTAACAAATAAAATATTGTACATTATACGCCAGGTAATAGTATTTACTGGCTCTGAGATGACAGGCTCGCCTGACGGCTCGCCAGTCACCTTCTCCTATCGCCAGTAAAACTCACTTAACTGGCTAATAATGTAAAATACTAAAACCAGGTAATTTCTTCCTTGGACTTTAAACCATTGTTAAGCGCATTCCATAAATTTCTCAATTTAGCAACGTGGGTTGAAACATCCTCTCCATTACTTAATCCAACTGAACGCAAAAAATTCTGTGCATATCTTAAACAGCTGATCTTTGGATGACGCCTCAAAATTCAATTTAACGCTTCCCATGCATCATATATCATGGATTTTGCATAACTATTCGCCTTACGAAATAAACCACTTGCCTTTTTGTGATTAGCTTTGACTCTTTCATCTTGTTCGTTATCTGACAAAGTTTCTGGTTTGCAAAGCTTTCCGTCAATGACGTCCAGGGCACCCTCATGATAGTCCAACAAGTCACGCATTTTTCTCTTCCAAATTGGCCAGTCTGTCTCACCAGCTAGGGGTTTGATGTGTTTCGCCAGATCCATTTCTTCAAAAAATGTGTAATGACGAAACTCTACAACAAACAAAACTTCGCGACTCGATTTTGTACTTTTGGACTCCCACGTGCGATTTCTTTATTCAGACTCTTTTATTAATCTGAGCCCATAACCTATTAAAGTTATTTAATATATCCAAAAAGCACAATTTAGAACATGTATTTATTCTTTTTATGAAAAAGAATACAATTCTACATAATTGACTGACAGAATATATTTTTCATTCTAAAACACGTCAACTTCTAAAAATCATTTTTGTTTAAAATGGTAATTAACATTTTTACTTTAACAATATTACTGTGACACATGTCATTTTCCAAGGCTGCAATAGTCTCAAAACTTGAACACTAGGAAAATTTTCCTAGAAAATAACTAAAACGTGCACATCATGGCCGCGCCCATGCTAGGGCCATTTCTACCTCTATGCAACTGTTTGACCAGCAGTTCATCTTACTTTATAAGTTCGTTGTGGCAACTTTTAAGTTTTATTTATGCCGTAGCCATTTCAACTTGTTCTTCAATCGACTTTTCTTAAAAAAGTAAGTCTATTTTCCAATATTTCCAAGAATACAAAAATTTCTCCATTGAACCACGTTAATTGGTCACTTGCGAGGTCACTTGCATGTTTATCGGCGACTATTATACGATGGCTTCCTTCCCCACGCAGCACGCTTCGTATGACTATGAGGCGTCTGTAAATGTATATCTGTCGTAGTCTTTTAGTGAAATCCGTCATTTCACGAAACGCCTAGTCCGAGGCCTAGTCATTTAGTGAAACGCTGAAAATTTGTACGTGTGGGGTAATTTCCCTTCCCCTTCTAGATCGATAAGGATACCATTATTATCGATTTCCAATGGGAACGGAATCCAATCGCTTGGCCCTGGAAAGTACACTGTGCCACAGTTTCATATAAATGACTAGGCGTTAGGTGAAATGACGGATTTCACTAAAAGACTACGACATATCCAATAGGGAAGTACGTGCTGAAAACTACTTGTAAAAATCTATTTCGTTGATTACACATTAACAGATGGACAGACCCAAGAATTGTAGCAAAAAGGGATCACAAATTTAGATGGTGTTTGCTATTCGCAGTTTGTCGATATTGCAGATTTGGTAGGAAATTGCATGTATTGTACTATTGTGCCAAACAATGTTTATTTATATTGCAAACCGGAAAAAATAAAATACATCACAACAAGCGCCAAAATTCTAAAATAAGGCAGTGTAACTTTGATGCGAGCGCATTCAGTTATTTTTTATAGTAATGGCGAGAGTAATGGTATAGCAGTATCGTTTACTCATGATATCCTACAATAGGAAAATAATAGGTGTGGAACAAAAAATTTGATTTAAATGGAAACTACTACTAGTTGTAATTGGCCAGTTATGTGATTGGTATCTGTGAAATATACGTGTGTGCCCCACCACATTTGAATCTTGCTCAATCACTTATGGCCATATGCACCGTTTTTTACCTAAGCTGAGCTTGTGTAAGCTCGCTTAAATCCTTAAGCCTTACTTGGATGTGATTTGTATGCACCACAGAAAATTAATCTAAGCTTCGTTAAGCGTTAAATATATTTGACAACATTGCGTATTTGTGCTTTTTAACCTCACTATTTTTCACATGTTTATAAGTTATACGACCTTTTGTATTTTTAACGTGTGTGCAAAGTATAATTTTACGAGTTCGCTAATTATTAACAAATCATGAGCAAAGAAAAAATTAGGGTGGCAAACTTTTCTAGTGCAGAGAAACTGCTTCTGTTAACGATAATTTCAGAAAAATATAGTAAAATACTAGAAGACAAAAAAACTGACCGCATGTCTGTCTCTCAAAAAGAGCAGGCATGGTCACAAATCGAAATAGACTTTAATGCTTCGTCTACTACAACGTTCCGAAACGCATCCTGTCTAAAGAAGTGTTACGAAAACAGGAAGAAAGAACTGCGTAAAACTGTAGCCAATCATAAACGAGACGTCTTATTAACTGGTGGTGGGCCACCACCTAAGAAAAAGAAAGACGATGACGAAACATTGATTGATGATATACTGACATCAATCATGAATGAAAAGACTTTGGTAGGACTACAAAACCCATTTGATGACGATGTTGATGAAAACGCAATCCCACAACGTAATACTCAACAATTCGATACAGATACTGAGTTTGTGTTGGAGGTTGGCAGTGAATATTATGCTGATAACAACACTTCACAAATTCAGGTACGTTTTTACGATGATGGTTGTCATATCTAATCATTGTGTCTACCCTCAAAGTAAAGTACATTACTTACTTGCATTATATTTTAGACTGCACAGGGCGTCATGCCAGCATCCAACGTTATGAATTGGAAAAGGAGTACTCCAAATCAATTAAAACAACCAATAAGTGCAACACTTTGTGCCATTGCAAAAGATGAACAAATGGCACCACAACTAGACATCACCACACCTAATAGCTCTAAAGTAAGTTTTTAGAAAAGAAGAATTCATTTTAATCAAGCATTCATTTTGTGTAGGCGCGAACACCAAAACAGTGTAGCAGAAGAAGACCAACAATCGTCGTGAAAACGCTAACATCGTCTGACATTGCTAAGAAATACAATATATTACTTGATAAACGAATTTCTTTATTGGATGCACAACATAAACATATGGAAAAAGAAAATGAATTAATTCTCAAAAAGCATCAACTAGAAATTGCTTTGTTAACTAGGAAATTGAAAAGAGATGAAGAGCTTGACACTGAAAATTAGTAATTATCTGTTTTATACTTATAGTAATATAGGTAACAATAATATTATAAACTGGTACATACGTAAATGTGTTAAGTAACAAATACATATTTTATAAATGTGCAAAATAATTATTAACAATGTGTGTTCTGAAATCGTAATTAATATGTTGGGGTCCCTGTATAGCTTCAATCTGACCCTGCTGAATTAGATACTCCAGTTCCTCCGCATTTATGTCATTCGGAGGTGGTGGCATGTCTTCATGCATATTAATCGCGATGTTATGCAGAACTGCTGTTGCTACAATGACAGTTAAAGCGGTATCAATATGGCACCGAAGTCCGTAACACAGTGCTAGAAAACGTCTTTTCCATACACCATTTGTTCTTTCGATGCAATTCCGTGTGCGAATGTGCGACTCATTATATAATTGCTGTGCTGGTGTTGTTGGATTCAGAAGCGGTGTTAATAAGTATGCTTTAAGTGCATATCCACTGTCACCTTAAAACATTTTGACATAGTACAATGCACTTAACCTACAGTAGGTAGTGAAATTGAAATAAACGGTTACTTACCAAGAAGAATAGCAGTACCGAACTCCCCTGCCTCACACGACACCTTGTCCTCAAACGACTGTTATTAAATATTGTTGCATCATGTGCCGAACCTGGCCATCTGGCAACAACATTTATGATTTTTAGGGTACTGTCACACACTAATTGTACATTTATAGAAAAATAGGATTTTCTATTTCTGTACACTTCTCCATCTTCGCCACCTATACATTGAGATGTTTAGTTTTTTTAAACTATGTGCACTTACTTACCTGGAGAACGAATTTTTATAAGTGTTCCATCAACACATCCAATTACGCGAGGAAAGCGTGCTACCCTGTAAAAGCTATTTTGACTAGCAACTATTTCGTCTGGGGTCGAGGGCATCTTTATGAAGCGGTTTCGAAGACCAGCAATGACTTGTGAAACTTTTTTGATTACACGCGAGACAGTACCTTGGTTCATATGCATAAAATCTGCAATGTTAATTTGGTGGCTACTGCTGGCATAAAATAAAAGGGTTGTTAACAGTTGATTTATCGGTGATACACTGTTGTTCCTGAAACATTAGTAGTACCGCCATGATGGAGGCTTAACGTTAAGCGAGCTTAGAGAGCATTTTTACACCGGTGCATAACAAATTAGTGATATAAGCGCGATTAAACATTAAGCTGGGCTTTTTATAGTAAGGTGCATATGGCCATTAATGGAGTCAATGTCGCGCAACCTTGCATTGGCGCAATTAAAGAATCTGCGTAAGAGTGAAATTATACATTTAGTGAAAGACATAGAAAACATTAAAAATACGATGCGGAGGTGACCCAGATTTTGTAAACAGCTGCACATATCGCAACGTGCCGTCGTTATCTTGGTCTGTAGTTTATTTGGCTAAGCCCTAAATTTAATTCGTGACTATGTCATGTCGTTACTGATTTTACCGTGACGCATATCCGTATCCCTCGAAATACGTCACATCTGATATCGAGGTGTAAATAGATCATCGTCATTTCTTGTATACATTAATATGTTTATGGTGTATAAATTGCTAACGCAAGCAAAGCACGATATGTGGTAAATTCTTTTCATAATACGCACGCTTCTCTCACAGAAATTTCCCTTTCTCTTCTACTGTCATGTTGAAACAGTAAGAGAGACGTTTGCACATCTAAATTTCTCTGCAATATTTAATTGTAATAAAATAACTGTAAATGACTAAGTAAAATTTTTAATAATAAAGCGAAGGTGTCCGGCTCGACTTTCACCTTGTCGCGATCTACAATGTAGCGCAAACGAAATCGTTATTCGAGACACACTTCAGGTGGAATGAATATTCTGCTCTTCGACCCACAATGAAAGGATATTGCATCTCCGTTTCAGATGGGAATTTCTGCGACCGTTATGTAACTCCTACCATCTGGGTCGCGAGGTGCATTTTCGACCTACTTCCACTTATTGTTTGGTTGTGTTCTTTTTAAAACGTCGACATGCGCAATGTTTTAGTAATTGTTTCATTCAGACAGGATTTTTCGGACGTAAAACCGCATTGAAAGCGGTTCCGATTTTCTTTGTAAGTAGTCCATTACGCTCAGTTTTCGGATATCTGAACCACCAACTGAATAGAAATGTTCATCTTTTACTCTCCATTCTCCACACAAATAAATCTCCAAACGACATTTAGTTATTTATGGCTCTAATTTCTTCCTGTTACCGTTTTCCTACCGCCAACAGGGAATAACTGCAAAACACATACCTTACAATTTTAAAGAATTGTCGTGAAATACTGTCACGTTTTTATTATGCCTACCTATTAATAGAACTGCGGTTTGAGACTGTGACACCATTTACGGAATGAAAATAGAAAAAGTACAAGTGCGCTTATATCATCAGTCCGTTTCCGTTTAGCAGGTGTGTTAGTTTTCTAATGTGTTCAGCTACAGTTTGTAACTACTTATTTACCTAGTCATTGTCAAGGATGTCAACAATTTGGGGTAGTATTCACATTTTACACTTAACTGGCGCACATTTTAGCCAGTGTCATAAAGAACGTCCACACATCGCTATTGTAAGATGGGCAAAGTTTACATAAACTGATTTAGCTGCAATTTCCGAAGCCGTATTAGGCTAAACACTTCATATTGTGTGGTAAAAACCATTGTAACACTGTGTGGCAAACTCCAAAATTATAACAGAAATTACATTCTGGAGGTTTTGTGTTAAAAGGTTTATAATAAAAATCTCGTAATCTGCGCTCTAGATGTTTTGAAATTTGGCCCAAAAAATGTACAGAATAGAATAGAGGTACATATATACCTTCGTGGCATTACCAGCAATTAGTCCATACGCTTTCTGGTACATCTTGCAATGTGGATTTGTAAAGTTCTTCTAATACGTGTTTAGTTTTGAATATTGTGTTTAGTCTTGCAACTTTATTTTAGGTAAATTTCTATCTCCCTATTGTAATGGAAACAGTATATTTATAGGTTTATATACACATATATCACTTCCAAGAAACACTCTAACTTTCGTAATTATGAACCCATTTCGACCATACTTTAAGGATTGGCGTAACTCAAACATCTTGATCGTTCGTGAATCAGCCAATTCCGCCATATTGGAACAAAATGGCGGACATTTTTATTAGTGCTGTATAAATATACGGAATAACCCTGTACATATATACAGGGTGTATAATAGGCTAAATTAATTAGGGGAGAAAAAATTTCTATTTAAAGAAATTAGCATTGAAATATCTATGGTGTATAAACCGTTTCTATGTATACAGGGTGTTAATAGTAAGTCGTTCCGCCCGAAAACTGCAGTTTCATTAAATCTTCTTAGTTCCAATTTTTGACTTGGTGCTCCGGTTCGAAGTAATTTGCGTATCTTTGTTTTTCTAAAAATCGTCAATTCCCTTACTTTAAGTACGCTCTCTAGAACATTTGTATTTGCAATTATTTTTTCAAATGACAAAATAGCGATTGATTAAACATTTTTTTGATACAATCCCTACATCATTACTCTCGTCATTACTACAACAATTTTTTTTTCAATATTTCGATTTCCAAAATCCCCTCCGCCCCTCCCCCCTTGCAGGATGGAAGATTAGAAATTGAGGCTGATAGGTCACCATGATTAAGTTTTTGGGAAGTGAAGTGTAATGAAATGAGTCTCATCGCACATCACATTTCTCCGTGACAGCTGTACATATCAATTGTGAGTCAAAACAAGATCGTATGGGTGTGCCACTTGCCAGTCGTATCGATCTAGTTTCTGCTTGCGGTGAGCTTAATTGTACCAATATTATATAAGTATTACAAATCTGTGGTATTACAACTCGTATTAGAAAACCGTCGAGAAAAACCAACTAACACTCTAATCAAGAATTCTACTAATTGTTCTGGAGCAAATTGTCCTGGGAGCGAATTGTCCGACAGCGAATTATCCGGGCGTGAATTGTCCGCACAGGGAAGTGCCTCAATAAAATGGGGTCGCTTTAATATGTAATGCAGTATCATTTTAAGTATTAAGATGCGCGTCTTCCGGGGTAGGGTCGTGTCAACGGAAAATCAACTTTCGTAAGGGGTTTCATCAAAACAAGAAAAGAAACAAAATAACAATAAAATAGTTATTTATATAACAAGAGCACGAAGTTCAATTTCGCGCATTGAGACTGAAGGTATTTTGACGAGGCGAAGCCGAGTCAAAATATCAGTCATATGCGCGAAATAACTTTACGATTAAGTAATGTGCACATGCGCAGACTGTCCTTATTTATTAATATATTATATTGAAATTGTAACAGATGCTTCTAGTAATGACAAACATATCACATATTGTAATAATCACAAATATGTCACTTGCACGACCCTCTTCGCTGTACTATCAAAAAAACAATTGTTTGTAAAAGAGCTTTTAATTAAACGGAGCTTTCACCGGTGTGGTTGGACCGATTCGCGATTGTTTATTGATATTACAGCGAAGACGGTCGTGCAAGTAAAGATGTTGAATGATAGTTTCACTCCTGCAGAAATATCACGAATTGTTTACATTCTGTCCTTGTAGAAATAACAGGGATTTTTTTAATTTCGGAAGTTTAGTGCAATTTTGTCAAATTTTTAGTAACAATTGGCATACAAGAGTTTTTTCCGCACAAGTCTACAAATTTCGTTTTCTTGTTTTGATCAAAGTCCGAAGGTAAAGTTTGGTTGTCTTATTCTTTACGTAAATTTTGTGTGAAAATGCATACGTACTTCTATCCTTGCCTTCGTAATGCGTGGTTTCTGAAAATGCCTATTTTTAAAACTTTTGCTATACCAGTAACCTTAAAATTAAAGTCCCTGGAAAGTTACGACATATTTTTGTACTGACGCAGATAAACAAACAATTTGAATATAACGAGGCCGTTTATTGTACGTAAATTGTAATCAAATTAAGTGCAAAAGGTTGCACAAATTGTCTGTTAGTACCGCATTAGCGTTGTATAATTTTTGATACCTAATTGACATCAACAGAAATGCAATTAAAATTGTAATTTTCACAAAGAAATAATTATGGATCCATTAAAGTTTTTCATTTAATAACCGTCACTTGCAACTACTACTGGTACCAGGTCCAATATATTGCTTTTGTTTTGATTGCATACGGGTAGATATTTCGTTGCAAAAATGCCGAGAAAAATGCAAACTGATTTGTTCCACCTTCATTGTAATTTACATCATTTTTAGCGCATTTCCAAAAACTGTTGTTGCCGTTTTGTCCGCTCATCTATATTATTACCAGATCTTTATTTTAAATACTAAAATGAGTTATGCCAAGAAGGCATTCTTTGAGCACATACCTATTAACTTTTGTTGTTTATTGTTCATCTTCTAGGGCGTATTCGAGTTTGAATATTATTTGTAAACGACGTAAATCAAAAGTTTGCTTTTCTCAATTTGGTTGTAGCAGCAAACGCATTATACAGGGTGGTTTTTTTCCGAGGTTTAGTATGGGGGATCTCGTAAACCGTAAGAGATATAAATAAGGTCGTTTAAATGGTTTAAATCTCGGTTTAAATATGGACAAAGAATTTGCAGAATTTTATGTAGATTAAGTCTCCCTTTCGGAGTTTCTTCTAACTGTACAAATGACGAAGTTATGGTCACAAAACCGAAAAATGTCATTTTCGAAAATACGGTGGTGGCGTTCATTTATTTTCAAAGATATCAAAAATTTGTTTTCAGGGCTCAATGATGGTGATGTCACTTTATTGACGATCGACAGAAGGAAAGTTCATGATTTTGGACTATTCCCTCCGTTCGTCCGTCCGTTGTGTACACGATAACGATTTCGAATTTTCCAATTCTGTTTTCAGTAATAGGTAAACAATGGTCAAGGCACTGATTAAATTTTGCTCAATGCTCGTCAACCGGAAGTGAACTTGTCGCTCGTTATCTGTATTGGCTCAGTTTATTTGCTGTTACTTAATAATAATGGTTAGTTGCGCACAAAAATGAATTGAAAAAACATTGGACGCAAATTATACCAATGGTTATGTTAAAATTTAATGTATAGGATGTCCAATTTTCTTCACTTTTATACTGTGTCAGCGTAATTGTTAGTGCTATGAAAAAAGTAATATAGGCGTCATGTGCTCTTTTTGGGAACAAACTTACATTGGTAAAATAAAAAAAAATGGCAATTTCCTTTATTAGTTACAGGCCTGTAGAAGAGATAATCGTCGGATTCTGTTCCAGAGTTTGTGAAGAAAACCTATCACGCCTAAATTGCATTGCCGACATTTGTTAACAATAGTCGAGACAATGGCAGTTACTGTTTCTTATTTTGGACGATCTCTGAAGATCGTTTGGTCGTGATTTTAAATAAATTATTGTATTATGTACTTACAACGGGCGTCATATACATATGTAGTTAAGTTAAAATTAATTACTTTAAAGTAATTGAACAAGATAAGATTGGGTGGGCGTGGGAAAAAAGTTAACTATGCTGACATTCAGATTCATTCAGATTATACCACAAGAATACAAATTTAGCGTGTTGGAATTGAAAAAATATCACGTGATCTGCATACATGTAAACATAAATGCATTCCATGATATTATATTATTAGTAGTATTTATTTATTTATTTATTATCCCTCTCTTGT